ACTCGGCTTGTGAAGCGCATCCCATTCTGATGAGGGTTGACTTGCACATGGGCTGTGAAAGATACAGAGTTTGTGTGACTGTGTGGGGAAGCTGACATGAGTTAATACAGGTGTGTGTGTGTGTGTGTGTGTGTGTGTGTGTGTGTGTGTGCGTGGCATGCATTTGTGCATTTGGCAACCGAGGGGAACAAATTAATTGTCCTCTCATGGAAACGTTGTTTTGCACCTTAGCGGAGTGATTCATGCGTCGACCAAAATCCGCCTGTACGAGTGACAGGAGAGTCCTATAGCTGCCTTTTCAGAGAACCGACTGCTCAATGATTCATGTCCCCCAAATCTGTCAGGAGGCGGCAGCCATTGTTTGAGCAGCACTTACATCCAAGTCTGACTTCTCTACAATGTTTATCAAGTGGAGAAAATGACTGGTGCGGATGATAGCAGCTGAAAAGGAGTCGTCATTGTTACATGCAGTTGACGGCTGCTGATATTGGCCTCAAACAGCTGCACTGAAACATCAGACTAGAAACATTGAGACAACTCCACACCTGTGATAGTCATTTGTCTTAAAGGCTTTATATGTGATTTTTTGATCCAGCAGATGTCGCCCTTGAGCACCAGCATGAAACCAAAACAACTCGCGCTGCATTGTTGTGTTAGCATGCTAATGCTAGCGATCTTTATTATGCTGGTATCTTCACACTGCATGTAAATTTACCTGAAATGAGCGTGATCTAGAAACACAGTTAAGCAGTGAGTACAGTATGTTATTCTTCTTTTCTCTAGTCCCTCAATTAAACAACTTTTATACACGAGGGGAGGAGTCAGCCGGCCGTCCGGGCGATGTAAACAAACTGAAGATAGGACTCTGAAAACTCTGAAAACTCTCTATACTTGATTTCTATTATATTTAAGGGTGAAAAATCACATATAAAGCCTTTAAGTGGACTTTTTTTAAGACTTATTTTGAACCTATCAGCTATTGTCTGGCAAATATATATGCTTCTGGGAGCAGTGGAAAACTTCTTGGTAATTCTGGTGCAGCCAGCTGGTCCACATCAAAAGACTTCCAGTCAAGGCTTCTTTTTCCAAGCGCTGCATTGATTACAGCCCAAGTGCTGTTCATCTGTTTTAGGTGAATCTCAGCTTAATAGTACATTGTGGGTTCTTCACTTTCAGTATACAGATTCACTACGCTGCGGCCGCATGAACCCATAAAGGAACCCGTTTCCTGATTTACTTGCTGTGAACAGATCTTGAGCTGAATCATCATTTCTGATGCATAGCAGTTGGGAGTTGGGAAATCGCTGATTGGCTTTTGCATTTTGAAGCCAATAGGAGGCTATATAGATGTCTTTAATGGGATTTATGTTCTGGCTTCTTTGAGTCTCCATACAGCCTGTTCTTCTGAATACACCACAGCCTGCTGATACTTGATTGGTAAATACTACTCGGACTGAAAAAATGTCCAACACTTAAAATCAAGATCCACATTTCTTTGTAGGATCATGTATCGAGAGTAATATAAAACCAATGTGAGCTAAGTCAGAAATTCACAGAGAAGCACCAGTCTACCCAAACATCAGGAAACTAAGAGTTATTCCTCTGTGTGTTCTGGTTCAAAAAAGTATACTAGACAACATTCACAAAAAAAAGTGTTGTCTGTAAGTAAGGTGTGGCCTTAGTTATTTATTGAGGTACCATTTGCTTCAAACCTGTCCTAGATAATTAATACACTGACTGTAAGAATCTCATACAGCCTTGATTAAATAAATACAAAGTACCACTTGAACTTTCTATTAGGCTGCAACAAACACCTCGTCTCTATTGAATAACTTTTCTACTAACATGAAGACTGAGTTCATTGTAATCTCCCAGAGCCTGATAGTGGAACATCACCAAATGTGTTTCATCTCCTAAGCAACAGTTCAAAACCCAAAGATACAATATTCAGCTTCACCTTTTTAGAAAAAAACAATTTCCTGTTTCTTCTTCTAATGTCTATTTTAACAAGTAGTGCAGCTGCATTCAAACATCCCCAATGTCTTTCAAAAAACTAAAACATAAAAGTTGGCATTTGTACGGAAACCTTTATGGACATGCATCCATACATTTAATTTACAAAACTTTTCAGTTACTATGAGTAATTTCTCTTTTTTTCTCCAAGATCTTGACTTATTTATCTTCATATAGCGACGCTTGTTGTCCCACGATAATGAGCTCATTTCAGGTTTATCAAGATCTTTAATTATTTTCCTTGTTATGACTAAACTGTTCAGATTCATTTTTCTCATTATCTTGAGATAAAATCTTGTTTCTTTGTGATGAGGGTATTTGATGATTTAGAAAGCAAAACAAGGGAATGGTCACTGTGATAGGCCTCACCATGACATGCTGCCATCGCCCACACTGATCAGGATAGTTGAGCCTATTTCTACGGATTTTATGTGCTTTAAAGTCTTTATGTGATTTTTCACACTTAAATATAATAGAAATCAAGTATCTCCTCTGAAAATAACTCTGTGAGTCATGACTGTCTACAATGGGTGTAACACCCGAGTCCCACTGTCTGTGATGTTTTCAGAGTTTTCAGAGTCCTATCTTCAGTTTGTTTACATCGCCAGGACGGCCGGCTGACTCCTCCCCTCGTGTATAAAAGTTGTTTAATTGAGGGACTAGAGAAAAGAAGAATAACATACTGTACTCACTGCTTAACTGTGTTTCTAGATCACGCTCATTTCAGGTAAATTTACATGCAGTGTGAAGATACCAGCAGAATAAAGATCGCTAGCATTAGCATGCTAACACAAACAATGCAGCGCGAGTTGTTTTGGTTTCATGCTGGTGCTCAAGGGCGACATCTGCTGGATCAAAAAATCGCATATAAAGCCTTTAAAAAAACTCAGAGGATACATTATAAATAATCATGGGGAAACAGAGTGAATAAAATGTATGGATGCATGATGTCCACTTAGGGCTTTTGTACATGTTTGTCTTTTTGGAGATGCGCCCTCATACAGGTGTTCATTATTGTGATGGAGCACGGTTTCAATTTGCAGGACATGTTTGTGACTTGGATTTTTTAGCACCTTTAATACTAATATATGACGACATGTTTAGTCATTGCACTCTCGTCCAAACTGTTTGTGATGTCATAAAAATGTTCTTTTCTTTGGCCTTCGCACTCTGCAAACACTCGAGTGTAAGCCTGGTTGAAGCATTTATACAAACAGTTCATATACAGTCGGCGGGTTTCAGTTCCACTGGTTCAACCACTTGGCAATGTGAGATCATTTTCACCCACTGACAACTGTGATTGTCTGGAATCTCGATCTGCCAAGAAAGGCTTCACACAGATGGTGAGAGAGAGAGAGAGAGAGAGAACACGGAGGATGGATGATGGAGCTTGAATTCACCCTCTCCTCTTACAGACCTTGGCATAATCACGCAGTAAATATTTCTTTAGTGGGTTGATGTGTTCTTGCTGACATGTTTGTGGGCCTACATGAGTGTGAGTGCGTCTTAAGAGTGTGTCTGTCGGCAACGCACGCAGCCTGCGGAAGCACATATACGCATTGTGAGGACTCGGCGGGGAGCTCTGTTCCCTTTGTGTGTGCCAGGAGCAGCTTTCCACCCACGGTGGGCAGGCAGGCAGGCAGGCAGGCGGGCTCGGTTGGTTGGCGCCTAGTTTGGCATTCACTGGATGACTATGGTAGAAAGCAGGGAAGGCACACAGCCATTCATGGTAACATTATGCACATTGGGAAACAGGAAAGCTGTGGTGGTTAAGAGATATTCTCCAATGAACGCCTCCCTCGCTCTCTGTCTCTAGAAACAAAAGAATAGATGTGTTAATTAGGCTTTAGAAGAAAAATAAAAAACTGAATTCCTCTTTAAAGGCTTTAGATGTGATTTTTTCATCCAGCAGATGTCGCCCTTGAGCACCAGCATGAAACCAAAACAACTTGCGCTGCATTGTTGTGTTAGCATGCTAATGCTAGCGATCTTTATTATGCTGGTATCTTCACACTGCATGTAAATTTACCTGAAATGAGCGTGATCTAGAAACACAGTTAAGCAGTGAGTACAGTATGTTTTCTTCTTTTCTGTAGTCCCTCAATTAAACAACTTTTATACACGAGGGGAGGAGTCAGCCGGTCGTCCTGGCGATGTAAACAAAGTGAAGATAGGACTCTGAAAACTCTGAAAACATCACAGACAGTGGGACTCGGGTGTTACACCCATTGTAGACAGTCATGACTCAGAGTTATTTTCAGAGGATATACTTGATTTCTATTATATTAAGTGTGAAAATCACATATAAAGACTTTAACCATTCACTGTCAAGAATGTACAGACGATAGTCCACTTCCTAGACTGAATGTGAGGTTAATTCACACCGTTTTTATTTGCTTTAAATCTGGGGAGAAGTAGGATGCCTTCAAAAATAATTAATATTCCACTTAGACTGATACAACCTTCACAAGCACTAGGTTGTAAAAAAAACAAAAAAGAACTACGTGACGTCCTGATGTTTGAACTGACGGTCCTTCTTCGGCTTCCATACATTAGTCAGACAGATGGGGTCGCCAGGAGTCCACAAGGAGCAAACTAACAGCCAGGCGTAAACATTTCAACAAGTAGCCCTCTCTCATGTGTTTGCAAAGTGCCTCTTCCTATTTTACCTTAAGATTAAAAACTGAAGAGGACAAAAACAAACAAGTTTTCCTGATAGGTCAAATCAGCAAATATATATTAACGAAAAATAAATTGAATGTTGATTCCAAGAACAAAACTACAAGCTGTAAAATGATTGAATGAGTTTTGAATTTATTTTTAAAATAGGCCTTTATTTATTTCATTTTATTGTTTTCTTTTCGCTCTTCAGCTGACACACCTCCCACCTGCTCTCGCTCTCTCTCTCTCTCACACACTCTCTCGCTCTCTCTCTCTCTCACACACTCTCTCTCTCTCTCTCTCTCTCTCTCTCTCTCTCTCTCTCACTCACTCACTTCCCTCACACTTTTCACTCTGCTACCCAAGATGGCGGCAGCCCCATCCATCCAGCCGCCGAGCGTTCACTCTTCTCTAGCCGGGGAGAGCGCACTTTCTCCGGAGATGGATAGCCCTGAGAGCCGGCAGCCGGAGGATGAGGAGGCAGCAGCAGGCGGCGGGGGGAGCGGCGGCGGCGGCAGCGGCAGCGGCGGCGGCGGCGGCGGCAGCAGCAGCAGCGGGGGGAGCTCAGCCCTCAGACTCGGGGATTAGTGTCCGGGACCTGCCGGACCTGGAGCCGGAGGAGATCGAGAAGCGGCTGGCCAAAACTCGTCAGGAGCTGAGCAACAGGAGGAAAATCCTCATGAAGAACCTGCCGCCTGACACCACGAACCAGGTACACACAAGATAAACTGCAGGGGGAAGCAGAGTGGGTCACTTCGCTTTCAGGTTTCACTCTGACTTTTTGTAAACCGGGGGTGCTCAAAAGTTCAGTTTGCACTTTTAAATAGACTATGGTTAAAGAACTATTTCCCAAAGCTTTTTACTCTTTCATTTTCAAAGTAGGACATGGTAAATTAAACTTTACCTGGAAATATCAGCACAAATATTCTTTTTATGTAGCCTACTTCAAAATAATGTGACATTTAAATCTGAATCATTTTGTTTCTAAATGAGTTTTTGCAAAAGATATCACAGGTTTACAGGTTTGCTGTCCTGACAACCATTGCATGGTGAAGTAAATATATCAGTGCACCTATATAACACTGAAACAGCTACATTACTGGATATTTTAAACATACTAAAGCTGTGCATTCAGATGCACAATTTCTATTTGATGCAGTCATCTGTTTTGTTCATGCAATCATCATTCTTGTAACTTTTGCAAGCCAACATTTTATATGCAACTCGATCGCCTCGGCATTAGCTGACTTATAATCAATGCACAGTTAAAGTTTTCGCTGATGGGGTTCTTGCTGGACAGATATTGTTTTGAACATTGTAAACTTGAGTATCCCAGATTTTCATACTGCCAACACACGAGTGGTAGAGTCCATGATTTGTGTTGGCACAAGCCGATTTATCTGTCTTGTTTATTGCTCATAGGAACTTTGTCGGCATGTTTCTCGTCAAAGAACAACAGAGTGACATCACTGTTATATATCTTGAAGACCTTTTCTGTCTCCCCCCCTCCTGAGTGTCGTTCATCACTCGTGTCAGGCTGCGAGCGTTCATGAGGCGGAGGAGCTGATTGTGTCCCTTCATGGCTGAAGCCCCAAAAACACTCTTAGAAAGAAGAACCTGCACTCTGCCTGAAGTTTGTGTGTGTGTGAGGAGAGGAAAGGAGAGTGAGACGGCATTGTGTGTGAGGAATGAGAATCGGAGGGGAAAGAGAGAGACGAAGCAGCAGAAGAGGAGTGTCTTCTCCTCTGTATATTTTCCATGAAATGCATGTGCCAGAAGGAGTGTGATGTGTGTGTAGTGAGCCCGAGCAGCAGAGAGAGTCTGCAAGGAGCCTGCTCAGCTGAACACAGCCACATGAATTCATTCATTTAAAGGAACAGTTCAGGTAGTTTTACTGATGAACTGACATTAGCTCTGACCGCGTAGTGTGTGTGTGTGTGTGTGTGTGTGTGGATGTATCTCAGCGATCTGACAACTTGTCAGAAGAAAACAACAAAAACATTTTGAATTCATAATCGGAAACCAAAAATATTGAAACCATTTGGAATAGAGTATAAACATTGAAGCACATAAAAAGCTGCATTGTTGTTATAAATGCTCAAATGCATTGTGTTTATCATTTTCCTTATTTCCCCAACATAATTTTAATCTTCTAAAATGCAGTCTGTTAACTTTCTCTGTTATTTGATCACAAATTAAATATTTATTTGACATACTGGATGAAAAGAATCATTTGAAAAAGTAATAATGGGCTTTTTTTTCTTCTTTTAAGATACAAAAAAAGATGAATTGATTAATGTCAAGGATATTAAAAAATTAATTGGTATTTGAAATAAAAGCCCTTTGCAGCCATATTTGTGCATGTGCATATAGGGATGTGAATCTTCAGCCTGTCTCTTGCCTGGTTCCTCTACAGGAATCCAGTGATGCTCATACAGCCCCGTGTTGACATAACACCATCTTAATAGTATAAGGTTAGACATTTATGACGAAAGGAAAATCCTTGTCGCTGTCTTATATAACCAGTCTGATGAGCCCGGCCACGCCCAGCAGACTCCCATCGCCCATTCCCCTCATACCCACTGCCCCATTAGTGAACACTGTAACGCAGAGTGTGTGTGTGTGTGTGTGTGTGTGTGTGTGTGTGTGTGTGTGTGTGTGTGTGTGTTAGTGAGTCCGTGGTGCGCTGTATCAGATATATGGCCCTGCTGACAGCTCTCATCTCAGAGAGGAGTGGGGGGATGGGAACAGCGGAGAGAAGAGGAAGAGCGCACGTAAAGAAGAAGGGATGGCGAGACGGAAGAGTTAAAGGAAGGATGGATGAAAGAGGAACGAGTTTTTATCAAATGTATCCATCTCTTTATGTTTCCCTAAAAGACATCAGTAGCATTTTTACTGAATTAAAAGTTCTCATTTGGATCTACTTACCCAGACTAAATTAGTTTGAATAATTAATTGAAATAATAAGTTTGAAAGATTTGTGACTAAAAGTGACTAAAAGTTAAGGGCTGGGAAATGCATGGGTTACCCACGATATGATGCAATTTGATGCAATTACGATACGATTTGATACGATGTGGCGATCCTAGCCCACGCTACATTATTGTCTTAATACAGCAAGCTTGTTGAAAATCATATAACGATACAGCACAATATCTGATCCACTGAAAAATATAAACTGCCTGAAATATAAACTGCACAAAAGAGGGCGGCTGTGGCTCAGTTGGTAGAATTGTCGCCTCTCAACCAGAAGGTCAAGGGTTCAATCCCCACTTGAGCAACATGTGCGATGTGTCCTCGGGCAAGACACTTAACCCACATTGTTCTTGCTGCTTCAGTGGCGGTGTATGAATGGATTAGTGTTGTACTTACTCTCTGATGTACGTCAGCTTGGATAAAAAGCATCTGCTAAGTGAATTGCAGAAAGACATTTCCGTTCTCCTACTGTCTTCTTTTTTTTCCTTCTGTCAACGTCTTTTGCCAATTTACTGTTCAGTTCATGTTTCACTCGTAAGTGCCACGATGAGAAGTCAGGAAGTGGTGACACGGGGTCAGATTAAGGAAATCTGTTTAGAGTGCCGTTAGACACTCGCAATAGGATGATTGTATCACACGAGTCAGGACGATGATGTATTGCCAAATCATGTCCTCCTATTCCCGAAAATGCTATCAGTAGTAATTTAGTGAATAAATATTTCTCTCCATGTGCTGAGTGTGTGGCCCCTCTAAAAACTTCTAACAGAGCCCGTGGCCTCACACGCTCACTGACCACCGGGCACTGCGTCCTCCTCGTGTCAGAGCGAGTGTCGATCAGGTAAACTTGTCTTTTCCCATCGCTAAGTTTCAGCAAATGACAGCAACATTAAGTGGGAGTGCTCTCCTGCAGCGCGTCTCTTTCTGTCGCTCTGGGGCTTAAACATAAGCGTTGTGCTGGAGTGGATTTGCATCTCCATTTCAACAAGTCTACCTGCTTGAAGGTGTTTATATAGATGTCTCACTTGTTTTAAAGATAGGGTTGGTATTGTAAGATATCCACACATTTGGTATATCCGTTAAAACAGTCTTAACACCCGGCAGCAATCAATAAATCATGTGCTCTCACAGTGGTTTGCCGCTGCCAGAGGTATTTCATGACTACCAGGAGGATGGTAGAGAAAGCTCAACTCCATGGTTACTCGTAACTGTTCACCCTGCTAAAGAGGGCAACAACAAAAAAAAAGTCAGAAGCAGAGAAGGCTGCGACGAGAAAGAGTGTAGATCAAGCAAGAGGACAAACCAGATTAAACATTAAAGCTCTTCAGCGATGGAAACGACTGAGTTGAAGTCTGAAAAGTGACAGCACGGTTGCTGTCTTTCTGTTGCCACGTTTGTTTTTTAACATTCAGTATGATAATGTTAGGTGTGTCATACCGCTGAACAAGACAAGAGGTAAATGTATGTAACACATTCTCTTTTACAAATAAATCTTTCACAATAAAACTCCCCTCCTTTTAAAGGCTTTGTGTGTGATTTTTTGATCCAGCAGATGTCGCCCTTGAGCACCAGCATGAAACCAAAACAACTCGCGCTGCATTGTTGTGTTAGCATGCTAATGCTAGCGATCTTTATTATGCTGGTATCTTCACACTGCATGTAAATTTACCTGAAATGAGCGTGATCTAGAAACACAGTTAAGCAGTGAGTACAGTATGTTATTCTTCTTTTCTCTAGTCCCTCAATTAAACAACTTTTATACCACTTTTTTGTCAGCCAACTGTCCTGGCGATGTAAACAAACTGAAGATAGGACTCTGAAAACATCACAGACAGTGGGACTCGGGTGTTACACCCATTGTAGACAGTCATGACTCACAGAGTTATTTTCAGAGGATATACTTGATTTATATTACATTTAAGTGTGAAAAATCACATAGAAAGCTTTTAAGCTGTTGAAATGCTTTTATTATGAAAAGGTTATATCAGGAAATGTGGTGTCTTCAGCAGTGGCTGAACACACTTCTGCAGGAGAGCAACAAAAACTTAGAACCGCACACAGATTCAGTTACGAGCTGCTGAGATCTAAATGCACGGTGACTTTTAATAACATCTTCCTCTGGTCTCACACACAGAAACTATACAATCAAACAGGCTCGTCTGAGGGGGGAGGAAAGGGGGGTCGTAGTGCGTGAATGTGATGTTTCAGTAAATCAAAGCACATGGTGTAAACATTTTTCTGCACTAGAGAATGCCAAATGTGTGTTTGAGAGAGTACGCATGAGGAAGTTACTCTCCAAGGACTTCTCTTAAGTTCTTTAGTTAGTCAGAATTTCAAAGAAATACACTTAAGCTGAATGTGTATGTGCATGTTTTATGTTTCTTTTTGACACCTGTGTGTGTTTGTGTGTGTATGTATGTGTGTGTGTGTGTGTGTGTGTCAGATCAAGCGTGCATCTATACAGGTATACTCAAATAGGTGTAAATGTCACAAAACAGCATGTGCCTGAGCTGTTCTCCTTCCACCCACTTCCTCCTTTTGCCATACATGCTGAGATGCCTGTGTGTGTGTGTGTGTGTGTGTGTGTGTGTGTGTGTGTGTGTGTGTGTGTGTGTGTGTGTGTGTGTGTGTGTGTGTGTGTGTGTGTGTGTGTGTGTGTGTGTGTGTGTGTGTGTGTGTGTGTGTGTGTCAGGAGCAGATGTTCATGAAATCCTCCCCTCCTGACTGTGGGCAGGCTTC